CCGGGACCATACAGCTAATTCCCGGTACAATCACAGAAAATCCCGGTCATACCCATGTGGCTAGATGTTCTTTTAATATGTCGTCAAGATCTGCACTAAAATTTATGAGTCCACGAAACACATCAGGGTTGTCCGAATTTTCTGTCTCGTCGTGTCCGCGAAGTGCTAATTCGAAAGCTCCGCAAAATTTTATGCAATCTATGATTTTAGATAATACATAACGATTTTTCATTACCTGTTCATTGTGTTTCCGTATATTATCCCAATATGCAGAATCTAACTGACTTCTTGTGTTTATTTTACCTAAAGACTTAATGACTTAAATCTTTCACATTGTATATTGTCCATGCTTTATCCCCACCGAAAAGTAAGGACGGAAAACAAAACGGTGAATTTTTTAAATCACATCCGCACACCCACCGCAATAAAAACAAAGGACGCATCTAATTGTTCGCTGTCCACACATTTTGTATATGAGGTTGCATATATTAAGGGGCGTAGCTCGCGTCGTAATAATAATATAAGCTCCTAGATTTATTTTAGAGCGAGTACATTTGGATTCTTTAAATATTTTGTTGATATTTGATATGATTAAATACATAAAATTTTATGTGTTCTGCAACTCCGCAGCTATTATGGTAAAACCGCCACTGCGCGCAATTATGTCAATATTCCTTAATCGAACTTTTCTACATCAAGTTTTTCTCGGAATGGTTGACTTTAGGACCTATGTCATATAAGGGTTTTTTGTTTATTTTAATGTATTCTATCGTCTGTTTCAAAACTGAAATTTCAAAATTAAACATTTAAGTTCAAATTTATCTGTAATCTAAAATATGATTTTAAAGGTTAAACATATTTTACAAAATTTGGAATTCAAACTAGAAATTTTTACGGAAAATCAAAGTTTCAAGTTGTTGAACTTGAAATTTTTTATTTAAGGAGGTTTATCAGGTACGTCTAAAGTCAAATGAGAGTTTCTGTAGATTCGCTAGTGACTAAAGCCATTAGATTTGGCAACATTGCACGTGGCAGGCGCGTTCGTCTCGGCGTTCCCTCGCTCGCGTTCGATCATTCTGTTTGTTTGGATGCCTAACCTTGAAATATACGTCATATGTCACAGCTGCGAATTTCATATAATACGCTACTTCGAGAACCGCATATGGGGGTTACGTTAGCCAACGACAGCACTTTGAAGGAGAATTATTATAAATTATGTATCTTTTACAAGCACCTAATCGATTTCTACGAGCTGTCATACAGTTCCTTAGATATCGGTTTCCTATTTATACAAGTTGCCGTGGAAACTGTTCGTCAATTGTTGCGCATTCTCAGTGGCAAGACCAAAAAAATTTGCATAAGATTCCGTACTAAATCGTGAAAAATTATTCTATTAATATCTTGTCTTTTAGGTATCCAAACTAGTCGTAATTTTTTTTTGATGCTTTTCTTCATATTAACAAGATTATATTAATTTTTTTATGAATATTTGTTTGTCGGTTCCATAACAGATAAACCTTCTTAAACTGAAAACTTCTAGTTTGACTTGGATATTACAATTCCATGTTTCAAACTTGAAGTTTGATAAATAATATACAAAATATGTGGTCTTTATACAGGGTGTTCCAATTAAAACTTCCCACCTAGAAAATACCGGAATTAAAAAGAAAACAAAATGTTAGACGTGTCGATTTTCTTTTTAAGAAACTTCAGGTGACTCCTTATGTTGAGTGATACCTCAATTTAAAACTTTTTCAATTCTGGTCGCGACGAAACACGACTTTTTAAATTTCGGTTCAGATGACAATAAAAACATCACTTATTAAAGAATAAGAAAAGAATGTTACTTTATTTTAATTGGATCAACCTGTGTATATTTTTCATATCGAGTGTTACAAATTATTGTAATTTAACGAATTCGATTGTAATTCCATATTATTTTCGTAATTTTTGCCATGTGCTGCACAAACGAGGAATAAACAAACGGTTTCCAGGTAAGGATGACGGCCTCGGCGTGGAAAACTTGAAATACGCCGGCATGATAGCGGGTGAGACCTCGGCCGCCTACGAAGAGGTCGTAACCATCTCCATGGTTAGTTGCAGAGCTATCGGCATCGGCTCCTACGTGGTGCGTCTCGGTCAGAGGGTCATCCAGATCGAGAACTCTCACATCATCCTCAGGGGTTACAGTGCCTTAAATAAAGTAAGTTTTAAAGAGTTATTTGTCTGGGTACGATTTCATGAAAATGTTCCATTTACCGCAGCTACTCGGCAGAGAAGCGTACGCCTCCAACGATCAGCTCGGCGGCATCCAGATAATGTACAACAACGGAGTCACTCACAAAACGGAAAGCAGCGACCTGGAAGGCATCTACACGATACTGAAATGGCTGTCGTACATACCAAAGGTATAAATTCACCTCATGTCGCGTATTTTCTTTAAAGCCAGTACTAATCGTTTTAGGATAAATTCTCGTCCGTGCCAATATTAAGGCCGGTCGATCCCGTCACGAGAGAAGTCACTTTCACGCCCACCAAAACGCCGTACGACCCCAGATGGATACTGGCCGGCAGAGAATCGCCAAGTGAGTGCATCGGAAATTTTGCATTTTTTTTTTGTAAATCTAATACGGCCCGTTTCCAGACGATCCGAGTATCTGGGAGAGCGGTTTCTTCGACAGGGGCTCCTGGGCGGAGATAATGCAGCCGTGGGCGCAGACCGTCGTCACGGGCAGGGCCCGGCTGGAGGGCATACCCGTGGGAGTCATCGCCATGGAGACCCGCACCGTCGAACTGACCCTACCCGCCGATCCGGCCAACCTGGATTCCGAATCAAAGGTGAGGGCGTAATTTGGTTTTTATAGACCGATCAAAATTACTCATTTAGAGAGAAAAAAAAGAAAATTGTTACCTGAACTTTTATAAGTGGAAATAGTAAAAGGACTTATAATAAACCTAAATAAAATAAATGCGTGAGCAGGGGCGGCGGAGGGTTGATTTTGGGGGTGGAAAACTTATGAAAAATTGTATCATTGGGATTTCTGGCGAAAGTTGACGTCAGACAAAAAAGTATCGAATACTAAAGTCATAGATCATGCAAAAATCTACAACTTTTGTAGAGGTAATTTTTTAACATAACCTCAAAATTTCTGAGAAAAATGCAAAAAACAGGTTTTTTTCTGATTTTTCGTTTTTTATTTCTCATTTCCGCAAAAATAATTTAATTTTGACGAAACTTGGTGAAAGTATAACTTTCTGTCTTAAATAACCTCAAATTTTTTTAGATATAAAAATCAAGAAGTTTCCGAGATATTAATTTTTTTCGGCTTGAAACACTTTTTTTTCAAAGAAAAATTCTACTTAAAAAAATCATCGTACAGAGTTCTGCTGGTAATCATTGTTTTCGTTTAGAAATATACTTTTTGGTGAAATAAAAAAATCTGTAATAACAGTTCAAAAACATACTCAAAAAAAAAAAAAGTAAAAAATTACTTGCAGCAATGAATTTTTCAGTAATTGTTGATAATTTGTTTAAATTAAAAAAAAATCAAAAACTGTCATTGTTTGACCCAAAACTATTTTTGTACAGTATTGCTATAAATGGAAGTTGAATAGTGAATAAATAAAATAAATAATAATTTTTTTTCCGTAGGATCAATTAGTGTACTTATTTTTTTTTAAGTTTTAAGTGATGAATTCATAGATATACAGTGTGTCCAAGATAAGAATGGGATAGGCATTAGGATCTAGGAAATGGTAAGAGATACGGGGTGGCTTAGATTAGAAAAAAGTTTTTGTTTAGAAAATTTTAAAATTCCGGGTAGTTCCGGAGATATCCGGAAAAACCGGAAATTTTGCAAAATTGTTAAATTTTTTCTAGCTATATTTGAAAACGAATTTTGAAATAAATTGCATATTTACAATGCCACTTTTTTCACTCTATACGATGGCGCAACATTTTTGCAATCCGACGTTTCATCTTCGAGGGGCCATCATCGTGTTAATTTTTTTAAATACATCGCTGCTATTTTTATGACAAAATATAAAGTCATTTTTAATTCTGATTAGAGGATATTACTATTGTAATCGCTTAAAAAGTTTTTAGCTTGTTTTAGCTATCATTTAAAATTTTTCCCGAGTACAGCTCTTAACGCTTTCAAAATATGTATTAGATGAGGTCATAACAGTATAAAAGTCAGTACAGCACAAAATATCCAATATTTTTTTTTTACTACTACTATTAGCAATACTAACTGGGAATAATAAAATATTCCATAAATTCGTATTATTTTTTTATTAGGTACAACTTTTTAAATTACGGATTAAAAAACAATTGTTGGATATTTTGTACTGTATTGACGTTTATTCTCTCCTCTCTCTCTCTCTCTTCCAATAGATACAGGTATTTTGAAAGCGTTTAGCGCCCTATTCAGGAAAAATTTTTAATAATCGCTAAAAACCTTTTTAATTACAATAGTAATATCATCTAATTCAGAATTAAAAATGACTAGATTTTGTCTTAAAAATAGCAGCGATATATTTAAAAAATTAATCTGATGATGGCCTCTGGAAGACGANAAAAATTGTTGGACATTTTGTGCTGTATTGACTTTTATTCTCTCCTCTCTCTCTCATTCAATAGATACAGGTATTTTGAAAGCGTTCAGAGCCGTACTCAGGAAAAATTTTTAATGATAGCTAAAAACCTTTTTAAGTGATTATAATAGTAATATCATCTAATACAGAATTAAAAATGACTAGATTTTGTCATAAAAATAGCAGCGATATATTTAAAAAATTAATCTGATGATGGCCCCTCGAAGACGAAACGTTGGATTGCAAAAATGTTGACGCCATTGGATAGAGCGAAAAAGTGACAATGTAAATATGCAATTTATTTAAAATTCGTTTTCAAATAAAACCAGAAAAAAATAAAACGACTGCAAAATTTCAGGTTTTAGGACTTTAAGTCAACAGTAGACTTTGCGGTTAATACTTTGTATTGCTGAAATCTCAAATCATACAGAGATAGCTTATCATTTGTGCATTTGTAATTTGACTTAAATGTTTATAGCAATACTGTACAAAAATAAAGATTTGGGTCAAACAATGAGACGTTTTTTTTTATTTTATTCCGTAGAATTTAATGGTGTAATCAGTTTTTAAATGTTTTTTAATTAAAACAAATTATCAACAATAACTGAAAAATTCATTGCTGCAAGTAATTTTTTATTTTTTTGCATTTTTGAGCATGTTTTTGAACTGTTATTAGAGATTTTTTTATTTCACCAAAAAGTATATGTCAAAACGAAAAATATGATTACGGGCAGAAAAAATGAATATCTCAGAAACTTCTTGATTTTTTTATCTAAAAACATTTGAGGTTATTTAAGACAGAGAAAGGTATACTTTCGCCAAGTTTCGTCAAAATTAAATTATTTTTACGGAAATAAGAAATAAAAAACGAAAAATAAGAAAGAAACCTGTTTTTCGCATTTTTCTCGGAAATTTAGAGGTTATGTTAAAAAGTGACTTCTACAAAAGTTTTTCATAACAATTACAATTACAATTTTTCATAACTTTTCAACCCCCCAAATCAATCCTCCGCCGCCCCTGCTCACGCATTTATTTTTTTAGGTTTATTATAAGCCCTTTTACCATTTCCACTTATAACAGTCCAGGTAACAATATTTTTTTTCTCCAAGTGTAATTTGATTGGACTATTAGGTATTTTTACCATATGTAGTTATATAATGCATTTTGTGCATCCCGATTGAATAATTCACCCTTTGTTAACTTTCATTTTCATATATGTATATATAAAGTTATACCAAAATATGTNTTTTCATGAAAAACTTTTTTTTCTAGCTCTTACCCTTTTTGAGTTATCTTGAAAAAGCCCTTTGTTTTATCTTTTTCCACCCTTGGCCGGGGGTTGAACAAAAAAATTACTCTAACTTATTGTTATAATATACCTTAAAAACTCATATCAAAAATTCTGCCAAGTTGGCAAAATTTCGATTTAAAGGCTCAGTTAATTGGACTATATGTTTAGTGTAGAAAATAAATTAAAATGATTTCGTATTCATCACATGCAAGCAATGTTATTTTAGCGTTTTTCTCGAAAACGGTTAGATTTATCGAAACGAATAAAGTATACCATTTTTATGTCAAAAGGTTAGGAGAATATAAATATTCAGTCAAATTTCGCATAATGTGTAGCACAAAAAAGTTGGAACCATTCAAATCAAATAAAGGCTCGTATGTGGCGCCCTCTACAAAATGCGAAAAAACGATGGGCAAATTTATAATCCCTATCCCGAAAAACCCCCATATACGAAATTTCGTCAAAATATTATGAGTATGGCATAAGGTAGGTATTGCAAAAAAACTTAAAACACCTTGTAACTCCATAAATAATCAGTTTTGGAAAGAAATGTTATAGAAAGAGGTAGCATTTATTTTCGGTCTAGAATTATCCCCTGAATTTTTTGCTCATCATTTCCGAACACCCTGTATAGATATAGTGCTGTCGTGCATATAATCGAATAAACGCTATTAATTCATTACTTGTTATAATTTTTACTATTTAGTATTTCTAACACTCATAAATATTTTCAAATTCATCAAATATTGTATATCATATTATTATTTATAAGATTAATAATATGAATATCATATTTAAATGGAAAATAATATGTATTACGTTACAAATATATTGATTTATATTTATAACTGTATCTTCATTAATGTAGCTTCAATGATAATAACTATATATAACTATATTTATATCAAAAAATTATTTAGAACTAGAATATAAAATGTTATAAAAGGATACGCATAGATAGTCAACCAAAATATTAACTAACCGAGTTTTCGCGAACGTGCGCTTATGCGAATTACTTGTTATAACTTGTTTAAACAAGCGCAATGGATTAGACTGCAGTGATCGGGTGTCGCATGGATCATTAGTTTATTGTCTGGCATCAGTCAATAACAGTGAACATTTGACAAAGAATGTATAAAAAATAAATAATACATTTTCTACAATATTCATTTGTGCTGTCATAGTGCAACAATCCTTTATTAGTCTGTAAACAATCATACAACGCATGTGAATATTCAATGTTGTATAAAACTGCAGGTAAGTTTTCGAAAAATATTCTTGTGCTATTCGTTATTTAATACAATATTTATTATTCCAAATAGCTAGTATGTACACCACGATTCATCACCAATCACTATGGAAGTAAAGTAAAGGAAGTTCTTGTCCCTTTATGTCCTCCTTGATGATGTACCTCGAATGTTGAATTCTGAACACAGCAGTCATCTCATGCGAAACAAACCGTGCATGCACTGTCTTGTGGCCCAAATGTTCGGCCAGGATGCGATAAATTGATGTTTTTGAGATGCTCAATTGCAATTCCATGAATTTCAATGAAGATTTTGGCTGATCACGAATTTCTGTTGGCCCACATTTTGCTCATCATTTATGTCCTCACGACAGTTTTTAAACCAAGTATGCCACTCATGAACTCTTTCACGGGATAAACAATCATCATAAACTTGGTTCATTAATTGAAACGTTTCTGTAAAAGGTTTACAAAGTTTAAAACAAAACTTAATATACGTATTAGCTCATTTTTGAACCGACGCAATGACTAACATTACTATAATAGACGAACGGTCCACCCCTAAAAAGATGCTTAGAAAATCAAGGTCACCGACCACGAGGAGAGGCCAGGATGAAACCTTTTGTAATCGATGCATTGAGTTATTGGGAACAAAAAACCTAAGTAACATCTTTATGTCCGAGTGGCAGGTAATTTGTTATTAACAAATAAGTTGCAAAATAAAAATATTGCAAAAAAACGCTCTGCAAATAATTTTTCGGGATAAATTGGCCAAAAATAAGCACTTTGTCTCTTGACATTTTTTCGTAGAACGCTTCCTTTTCGAGCTAGGGGCGATTTAAGGTCGAAAAATGGCTAAAAGTTGCCAACTTTAAAAATTCATATCTCAGCTCCTAACAAAGCTTTCGGAACGTTCAAAAGCGCAAAATGATCCTCGAGACTTATATTTTAATGTAGTATTTTTTAAACCCGCCCATTTTTTTTAACCCGTTAAATTTGCAGTTGAATTTCGGCCGCTAGTGCCCACGCGCCACCCCTACGTATCGCTATATACAGGGTGTCCGGAAATGATGAGCAAAAAATTCAGGGGATAATTCTAGACCGAAAATTAATCCTACCTCTATCTATAATATTTTTTCCAAAACTGATTATTAACGGAGTTACAGGGTGTTAAAGTTAAATTTTATTTGCAATACCTTTTGCCACACTCATAATATTTTGACGAAATTTCATATATGGGAGTTTTTCGGGATACGGATTATAAATTTGTCCACCGTTTTTTCGCATTTTGTAGAGAGCGCCACATACGAGCCCTTATTTTGATTTGAATGGTTCCAACTTTTTTGTGCTACACTTTATGTGACTTTTGACTGAATATTTTCATTCTCCTATCCTTTTGACATAAAAAAGATATATTTTATTTGTTTTGATAAATCTAACCGTTTTCGAGAAAAACGCTAAAATAACATTGCTTGTATGTGATGAATACGAAATCATTTTAATTTATTTTCTACATTAAACATAGCATGCTTTGGAACCAAGCGCTTAGTTGCCTTGGAAACAAATTTGTAGAGAATTAGTTTTGACAGATAGTAATTTTGTACAAGTTCTTTTGTAGTATTTGTTATCATAAAAATAATAATAAAAATGAACAACAATTACTCTAACGTGGAGTTGCGGGACATGCATTATTATTACGGTTTAGCTGCTGGCAATGCTCTTGCAGCACGACGTTTGTATCGCGAAGCATTTCCAAATAGAAACGTACCCCAATCGCGAATGTTCAGTACTATTCATCGAAGACTGGGAGAATTTGCATCGTTCAAAACTAGAATTTTTGATGTAGGTCGACAAGGGAATACAAGAAGAGCAGAAGCAGAAGCTCGTATTTTGAATTCGATAAAGAATAATCCCAATGGAAGTATAAGAAAAATTGCTATTCATGAGGGCATTCCAAAGAGCTCCGTATATGAAACAATACGCGAACAATACCTTCATCCGTGCCACTACCAAAAGGTGCAAGCCTTATCTGCCGTAGATCCTGCTGCTCGTGTGAATTTCTGCAATACAATTAGAATACTTCATAATGGTGACCAAAATTTTGTTCGTAATATCCTTTTCACGGACGAAGCTGGATTTGGCCATGATGGCTTAATAAACCTCCACAATGAGCATTTTTGGTCTGATGAGAATCCTAATTTATCAATAGAGCATGGTTATCAAAATAAGTTTTCCGTCAACGTGTGGGCCGGTATTGTAGGGGACTACTTAATTGGGCCACATTTCTTTTCACAAAGACTCAATGGTGAAGTTTACTTGGATTTTTTAAGAAACCACTTACCTATTCTATTGGAAGATGTACCACTCGGATTAAGAAATGCAATGTGGCTGCTTCAAGAAGGCGCGCCACCGCATTTTAGTTTAGCGGCCAGAGAATTCTTAAATGAAACTTTTCCTGAAAGGTGGATAGGACGCGGTGGTTTTGTACAGTAGGCCCCTAGATCCCCTGACTTAAACCCAATCGATTTATTTTTTTGGGGCTATCTGAAGACGCTTGTATACAGGACACCTGTGAATAGCGTCGATGAACTGAAAGAAAGAATTGTTGCTAAATGTGAGGTAATTAAGCAAAAGCAAGGAATATTCCAGAGTTCGTCGGAATTTTTTTAGAAGAATTCATTTATGCATTGAAGAGGGACGTCACGTTGAAACTTTGATTTGAATGTTTAATATGTATTTCTATTGTTCTAGTAACTTATGTATTTTAACCTTATGATTTTGTTAGTAAACCATTCTTTATTTGTTGAGGACGTTATTTTTTTATTATTTATCATTAACCACCATCAGCGTAACAACAAATTTTCACAAAAATTACTATTAGTCCGGGAGGCAGCGACAGAAATTTTGCACCAATTCCTACAAAGCTGATTTTTTCTCATTTTGTTGTTTTGATATCGTAAGTAAACGGAACGGCAGTCTACCGCGCCAATGTGGTGGCAAGCGTTAGTAACAATTTNCTGCTGGCAATGCTCTTGCAGCACGACGTTTGTATCGCGAAGCATTTCCAAATAGAAACGTACCCCAATCGCGAATGTTCAGTACTATTCATCGAAGACTGGGAGAATTTGCATCGTTCAAAACTAGAATTTTTGATGTAGGTCGACAAGGGAATACAAGAAGAGCAGAAGCAGAAGCTCGTATTTTGAATTCGATAAAGAATAATCCCAATGGAAGTATAAGAAAAATTGCTATTCATGAGGGCATTCCAAAGAGCTCCGTATATGAAACAATACGCGAACAATACCTTCATCCGTGCCACTACCAAAAGGTGCAAGCCTTATCTGCCGTAGATCCTGCTGCTCGTGTGAATTTCTGCAATACAATTAGAATACTTCATAATGGTGACCAAAATTTTGTTCGTAATATCCTTTTCACGGACGAAGCTGGATTTGGCCATGATGGCTTAATAAACCTCCACAATGAGCATTTTTGGTCTGATGAGAATCCTAATTTATCAATAGAGCGTGGTTATCAAAATAAGTTTTCCGTCAACGTGTGGGCCGGTATTGTAGGGGACTACTTAATTGGGCCACATTTCTTTCCACAAAGACTCAATGGTGAAGTTTACTTGGATTTTTTAAGAAACCACTTACCTATTCTATTGGAAGATGTACCACTCGGATTAAGAAATGCAATGTGGCTGCTTCAAGATGGCGCGCCACCGCATTTTAGTTTAGCGGCCAGAGAATTCTTAAATGAAACTTTTCCTGAAAGGTGGATAGGACGCGGTGGTTTTGTACAGTGGGCCCCTAGATCCCCTGACTTAAACCCAATCGATTTAATTTTTTGGGGCTATCTGAAGACGCTTGTATACAGGACACCTGTGAATAGCGTCGATGAACTGAGAGAAAGAATTGTTGCTAATTGTGAGGTAATTAAGCAA